CGTATCTCTCTGTTATATATTTAATAGACCCAACAATAAAATAGAATTTAAAAAAAAAAAGCACAAAAAGAAAAACCATAATCACATGGAGTATGTCGTTTGGTTACAGGTGTTTTAACATTTACATCTTTGAATAATATTTACCGTCTCAAACTTTTCATCTAGTATAACTAAAGGCCTCATTTTCATTCTACAATATATATTCAGTTAACATTAGCATTATTTCCCCCCAGAAAGTATACTTATATTCATTATTGTCCTTGCATTTCATACCTTCAAACAGAGATCTTGGTGCATCTTATAGTCTGAAAAATACGGTAATAGGCTTTGGTTTAGCGCGACCCCTTTGAATTGCAACCTCTTCTTCTCGTCCACCGCGCTCAATGTCCGTCTGACCTGCCTTCTCTCCGTCCGTCTTCACAGGCCTTCCTGGAGCGCTACCTGACGGCAGGGCCCACCATCCAGTACCACAAGGACCGCTGGCTGGCCAAGCAGTGGACTCTGGTCAGCGAGGAGCCCGTGACCAACGGGCTGAAGGACGGCGTGGTCTTCGTGCTGAAGCGCCAGGACTTCAGCCTGGTGGTCAGCACCAAGAAGATCCCCTTCTTCAAGCTCTCCGAGGAGTTTGTGGACCCCAAGTCGCACAAGTTTGTCATGCGGCTGCAGTCGGAGACGTCGGTGTGACCCACGGCGGAGCCGAGGGGCTTGAATGCCAGGGAAGGTGGCTCCCCAGCAGGAGGGGGCAATGGCCTGGCGCCAGCCTGCGTCTCTCGGGTTTGAGACGGTTCCTGGGCTTGGTGGGAGACCCTCTGGGGCGCCTGCCTCCCCTTCTCCATGCCAGCGCTTCCCCCTCCTCCTCCCCTCTCCTTTGTGGCCCCAACTGAGGGGAAGGGCAGGGGCTCTTCCTTCCCCTCTCTCTCTCTTTCTTTCTCTCTTTTTCTCTTTTCTTTCTTTCTTTTCTTTCTTTCTCTCTCTCTTTCTTTCTTTCTTTTTCCCTCCCTCCCTTTTTCTTTCTTTTGCTCTTTCTTTTTCTCTCCCTCCCTCTTTTTTTTCTCTTTCCCTCTTTCTTTCATTCTCTTTCCCTCCCTTTTTCTTTCTTTCTTTCACTCTTTCTTTTTCTCTCCCTTTTTCTTTCTCTTTCTCTTCCCCCTCTTTCCCTTTCCCTCCCTTGTAGCAAGCCCCCCCCCCCCAAGGAACTGAGGAGTTGGGTGTGGGTGATAAGGACAGCATCACCCCTCCCTCCCTCCCTCCGTCCCTCCCGATGGAATTGCTGGAAGTTACCTGTGCCAAATTCTAAGGGCTAACTCTGTCGTCTTCACCAGCATCTGCAGACATAGTCGGGCTAAGGAACTTTCGTGAATGTCGTTTTCTACAAAGATACACGCCGGCACGTGGAACCCCCAGACCCACAATCTCACAGCGACACTCGGTGTCTCCCTTGAGGTCCAACTGCACAAGATTTGGGGGGGATCATCCCAGGGGGGCCTGCTGGTGGTCCAAGGGAAGAGCGACCCAGCCCTTCCCTCCCGCCCGAGCCATCACGTCAGCCTCTGGAGGTCTTTGGGCTGGCTGGACATTCAACAGGTCAATCCCCAAGCAAAATCTGGAAGGAGGGGTGGGGGATTTTGAAGAAGCAGGTGGCTTTTTTGTTGAAAGAACCCTGTGGTTTTAGAGGAGTTGTAAATACGTTTCCTCTGAGTCGCTCAGGTGAGCTCTCAGTTTGAGCAAGCTTTGGTGTGGCGTGGGGGTGGGGGATTTAGGATTATGACAGGTGAGGCGAGCAAGAAACGCAGCATTTGGGTCCCCAGCGTGATTTTTTGCACTTTCGCACGTGCAAAAACTTGGATCTGGCTATTTCCTTTTGGGGAGGGTCTCCATTCGGCCTTCCCCCCTCCCTAAATCTCCGGGCCTCCCCCTCCCAATACAAAGCAGAGGGCTTTACTGTTCACCCACCCCTCACCCCACCCTCAAATTACTCATTGGCTTCAGGACCCATCGCTCACCAGTAGAGTGATGACCTCACTCAATGTTCTCCAACGCAGCCAGTTGAAAGCATGGGTGGACTTCAACTCCCAGAATCCCACTTGTCTTCAAAGCGAGATACNTGCAAGAAAACCACCAAGCTCAGAGAGAGCATCAAGGACCCCACAGTTGTCCTCCTCCTCCTCCCTTCCTCCTCTTTTTTTCTTCCTTCTCTTTTTCTTCCTTCTCCTCCTCCTCTCCACAAGTGCCACTCCCTTCTAGCACTGATGATGTTACCTAACTGGGTAGTAAAACGTCTGCAAAAAACCCAGCCACCCAGCCAACCACAGAGAGCAGCAAGGACCTTACAGTTCAAAGCTGAGCTGCAAATATTCTCTTTATCAATTTGGAAAAGAGCTCCAGCCTTGGCTGAAATGGCCCCCGGGCGCCTCCGCACTTCACGCAGGCTCCCGTCCTCAGTAATAGGATTAACCTTAAGCCGAGGAGAGTTGTAATGTGCTTTGCGCATCACACTCGTAAGCACCCGGTAAGCAGATTAGAATGCAGAAATGCACGTTGCCCTGTCAAAATGCTAAAACTCCTGGTGGGGAGCAAATTGGAGAGTGAAGTTGGAAGGTTGCCTTCCCCCCGTCTTTGGAATGGAACAGAATTCTTTATTGGCCAAGTGGGATTGGACACACAGGGAATTTGTCTTTGCTGCTTAAGCTCTCGGTATACCTAAAAGCAGAAATAAAATACATTCATCGAGAATCAAAAGATTTAACACTTAGTGATAGCCATGGGTTATTAATTCCGTATTTTTCGGAGTATAAGATGCACCTCCCACCCCCAAAGAGGAAGAAAATTTGGGTGCGTCTTATACACTGAATGTAGCTCCAACCCACCCACCGGCCCCAACCCTTTGGCCTCTGCCTCCCAGCAATTTACCTCCTTGCAGCAAACTCGGGAAAATGGGGCTTGCGGAGGCTGCAATAGGCTATAGGAATCCCTGCAGCCTGAAACAGCTGATGATCAGTAGGCCCTTAAACTGAAAGTGAAACTTGCTGTTTGTTGCAAGGAGGCAAATGGCTGGGAGGCAGATTTTTTCCCCTTGGTTTCCTCCGCAAAAGCTTTCATATTTTTCAGAGTATAAGATGTACCAAGGTTTTGAAGAGGCAAATTTAAAAAAAAAAGGTTTTGCACTCTGCAGACCTTCCAAAAACAGCCCATTTTGTTTCAAAAAAAGGGGCACGAATAGCCTTTAGGCTTGTAGAGTGCTCCTTGGGGGTGTCCCCCCCCCCTTTAAAACAAGCAAAAATGGCCCATTTTTTTTGCAAAAATGCTCCCTTTATTGTCAAAAAACTTGCATGCATAGCCTTTAGGGGGCTTATAGAGTGCTGCTGGGGGCTGGGGGGGGGGGAAATTGAGCAAAAAACAGCCAGTTGTTCTCTCTTTTCTTCCCTCCCCAGCCCCCAAGCCTGCTAAAGGCTCTGCACGGCCATTTTGGTTGGTGAAGGGGCGGGTTTTGGGAGGCCAAAAATGCTGTATTCGGTGTATAGGACGCACCCAGATTTTCAGCCTCTTTTTTGAGGGGGGAAAAGGTGCGTCTTATAGTCTGAAAAATACGGTAGGTGCGTCTTATACTTTGGAGCGTCTAATACTCTGAAAAATACGGTGAACAATGAAAATCGAACTGGGAAACTGAATAAAACAATATAAAGCGTAAAGATACAAGCAACAAGGTTATAGCCATAAGTGGGAGGAGATGGGTACTAGGAAGGATGAGCAGAATAATAGTAATGCAGTCTTAGCATATAGTTTCAGAGTCTTGTGGGGATTCCCCCGTTCTTCTTGTCTTGGGCCCCGTTTCCTTCTTCCCTCTGCTGGCAAAACTTCAGAGGGGATTCTGTGAATGGGCCTGGCACGGTGGGCGGCTTAGTCTGGGCTGAAGGTGGGTTCCCATCCTCTTCTCCATCCTGCTTGGCTTGCTGTGACGAGGTCCCCGCCCTTGCAGGTTGGTGGTGGCTGTGGAAGAGGCCTTCACACACATCAAGCGGCTCCAGGAGGAGGACCAGAAGAACCCCCGGGAGATCATGGACCCCAGGGAGGCCGCCCAGGCCATCTTCGCCTCCATGGCCCGAGCCATGCAGAAGTACCTGCGCACCACCAAACAGCAGCCCTACCACACGATGGAGAGCATCCTTCAGCACCTGGAGTTCTGCATCACTCACGACATGACGCCCAAGGTAGGCGGAGGGGAGGAGGGGAGGGGGAACCGGGACTCCAGGGAGCAGCTGGTGGCTTCCATCACAGGTCCTCTGCTCTGGGGGGGAGGGGAGGTGGAATGATTCTGCAGGAAGAAGGGGGCAGCCTTACCAGGTGGGCCAGGCAGGAAACGCACCCAGGTAAGCTACTTCGGCCTTTATGGAAGGCGACATTAAACAGAATCTTTCAAGTCTGAAAGGAGAAATCTCCCGCTCCATGAGAAGCGTGAGGCTGTTCTCCAAAGGACCCAGAAGGTCCAGAGAAGGAGGAATGGATGGAAACTGACCAAGGAGAGATTCAACCTGGAAATAAGGAGGGATTTCCTGACAGGGAGAACAATCAACCCATGGAACAGGAGTTGCCTTCGGAAGTTGTGGGAGCTTCATCCCTGGAGGCTTTCAAGAAGAGATTCAACTGCCCTCCGTCAGAAATGGTGGAGGGTCTCCTGCTTAGGCGAGGGGAGGGGTTGGACTAGATGACCTCCAAGGTCCCTTCCAACTCTGTTAATCCATTTTGTGGTCCCGATGATCTTGGGGATTGCTCTTTGGTTTTTTTTTTTTAAAAATCAATTTCATATATACATTCACAATTATATGATCTCATAGCTGTTATTAATAATATGTATTTATAACAATTTTTCCCTACTGTTGACAATATACTTGAAGATTGCTTTTTTAACATCCCATAGATCCATCTTATCTTACAACGGTCCTACTTCTTCTTCCCTCCTCTCCCACCTCCCTTCTCTGCTCTCTGTCTCTTCACTCTATTTTTCTCT